ATTGCATCCTTCGCCGTCTTCCTTGGCTTAAGATTCTATAAAACTGCATTGATTTGCGGTATGTTTACCATTAGACTATATATCATAGGATTTACTGTTGTAATCCCCTTATCTCGTCTCTCCACATTGTAGGGCCGTCAGAGCATGACTGCTGCAAGTACAGATTACCTCTCTGTGGACTTTCATAAATCGCCGTATTGCAGTACCAAATTAAATGATTCCCTCAAGGTACAGTATAATTACCGTAATAATCATAGGCGTCATGTTTTTAGATGTCGGGAGAAATCTAATTATGTTATTCGGTTTCTGTTTTTTATTCTTATTAACGAAACAATGACTGTCATCTCCACTGACATTGCGTTTCGTTATTTAACATTACAATACATATGAAACATATTTTTGTACATAAAGCCTACGTATATGGACATTTATCCAATGAAAGTAAAATTTCTAGCGACTTGATTTAGTATCCTTAGTACATTGCACTGACGTCAACGTGCCCCACGTTTCGGAGTCGAAATCGTCATCCTTTTCAAAAGATTAACACATTTAATGAACAAAACAGCATTGCATGAAATCGCCATTGAATAATTCTCTCATAAAAGGAGTGGTATCGATATGGAGAACTTTTTGAACACACGTTTCTCTTAAACCAGTCATAAAAAATCTAAAAATTTAACACATCGTCAATTTAATGGTCATCTTTTGAATGGGAACAATATAATTTGAAATATATATATATATACTTTCATCTGTATTGTTTTAGAAAACACACCAAACACTAGTTTTGTTCTTGGTATCATGTTTCCAGTGTGAAATGAAACATCTTTCCGAACCTCATTGGAACAAAACGACATAAACACAACATGTTTACACCCTATGCAGACAGAGCCTGTGGAAAATATTGGGTGCGGAGCAAATGAGCGGAGGGTGCGGAGCTAACGGTCATTTTTGAATTTAAATTTGGGATATTTCTGAAACTAAGCCGTTTTGGGACTTCAAATATACCAAGATATGTGTATTTGACACCGAATATCAATACAATTGTGAAAATAGTAGCGCAATTCATTCTATAGCGACGCAGTGTGCCTTAAACCTTTCCCAGACCTATATATTTTGAATTTATCTTTTTAATACTGAGTCCCCAGCATTCATAAAAATGGTGTTCAAGGTACACTATCTATACAAATTATTTTTGCATCTTGGAAGCCAGGCAGTATCTGTGTGATTTTATGAAAATTCGGAAATGTTTTTCAGATATGAGCCCCCTCTAAATATTGGGTGCGGAGGAGCTCCATAAACGTACCTCCGCACCCAATATTTAGAGGGGCTCATATCTGAAGAACATTTCCGAATTTTTATAAAATCACACAGATACTGCCTGGCTTCCAAGATGCAAAAATAATTTGCATGGGTAGTGTATCTTGAACACCATTTTTATGAATGCTGGGGACGCAGTATTAAAAGAATAGTCTCAAACCATATAGGTCTGGGAAATGTTTAAGGCATACTGCGTCGCTATAAAATGAATTGCACTACTATTTTCACAATTTTATTGATATTTGGTGTCAAATACACATGTCTTGGTATATTTGAAGTCCCAAAACGGTTTAGTTTCAGAAATGTCCCAATTTTAAATTCAAAAATGACCGTTAGCTCCGCACCCTCCGCTCATTTGCGCCGCACCCAATATTTCCCACAGGCTCTGTCTGCATAGGGTGGTTTAGGTCTCTCAATATTGTAATTGTACAAAGGAAATTTTGGTTGGTTTTAAAAAAGTATCTTGATTTTTATCTATTTTTGGGGGATTTTGTTTTAATTTTTTTTAAATCAACCAAAAATTCCTTTGTATAATATAACTACAAGTATAATATTGAGAGGTCTAAAAACATGTTGTTTATGCTATTTTGTTCCAACAAGGTTCGGAAAGACATTTTATTTCATTCTCAAGAATTGGTAGAGAGGAGCAAAAACAATTGCAATAAAATTTTTTTTAACAAAAACAGTTATATAAAATATTTCTAAATAATTTTCGCATTAAATTGTTGTCAATCAGTCAACATTACATAAAATACCGTGTTTTTTACAGAATGTTTTCAATGATTGGTTTAAGAGAAAACATTGTTGAATGCAGTTCTCCATATCGATACCATGAATAACTCGTATTATTCCATCATAACATGTTTTCCCTGGGAAATAAACAGGAAATAGAACGGATATTCAAAAAAAGCCCGTATCAGCCAAAATCCCGTATCAGATCCCGTATTGGCTCCCGTATAAGATCCCGTATCAGAAATATTCCCGGGGATTTCTATTGCTCTTTACACGTTTCGTTCTATTTTAAAACGTATTAATAAAACCTGAAAAATTTTATATGATAAATCAAATTGTATCATTTTAAGTCACCATCATCGGATGATGACAAATCGAACTTGAAAATGAATAAGTTTCAGAAAAATCATTACGGAATAAATAGGTTATTGATGGTCGTGATGGAAATGGAATATGAATTTTTCCTCGAGAAAATATAATATTAGCCTCGGAAAATATCATATTGACACTCGGCCTGTCGCCCTCGGTCAATATGACATTTTCCTTAGCCATATAAAGTCTTTAATTATTTTTTACTTTTGATTTTCATTCTATATCTCACCATATTACGCAATCAGCGAGACCATATGAGATGATGACCATCATCTGACCAGCACTTGTTGACCGACTTCTAGGCCATGCACAGCTAGCTACTTAGATAAGGATATTAAGTACCTAGAAATTTTAACAATACTTCTTCCAGGAATTGGATATCTAAATTAAGCATTTGCCTCATAGTTTTAGATATATATTACAAACATTTGAGAGAAAAAATGTCAGAAATGAATGAAAAAATGGAAAAAAACTTTTAGACGAGGATGAAGAATGCCAACAATCAGTCCAGGGTGACATAATAAGAAGTGGAGATGAACAACCAGTCGGTCCAGAAAGATTCATGGATGCTCTGATGGAACGGTTGGATCGAATAGAGAAAAGGCAGGCTGAGACGCACCCCTCTACTTCAAAGCGTTTCAAGCGTACAATGGATTCTAATACTCCAAATACTATTGCATTACATAGCAAAACTGTTTATTTTCACGCGATTGTTTAACTACATCTGTCAGCAGAGATTTATGATTCTAATATCTCATTAAGTCATCTCAATAAGTCATTAAATTATAGAATTATGTAAGCATTATCATTCTTGGAAAATGCGCAAATTTACATATCTTAAATAGAATTTAGCATTTGACACAAAGAGAACAAAACATTACGGCAATTTAATTGATCACATTTCTACACAGATATGGTTTTAATACGTAATAAAATTGTGAAAAATTGAGAAGAATTAAATTAATGCGAATTGTGGTGACGATTTGATGCTCAACTCGTGCAAGTGTAAGACATTGTACAATGCAAGGAACATAAAATCGCAAGTCTGAATAATTAACAGGATTCAACTATAGGGAGTTTATAGCAAATTTAATAACTTCAAAGAGTTGTAAAACAAAGCCAATGATGCCGTCCACAGAAATTATGTTTTGAATCTCTGAACAAATAAGACACTCTTCGCGGGTGACTTTGACAAATCTGTACTTTTCGTTTATCTGGTCTTTGTTGAAACGTCTGGGTGGAGTCAATAGCTATTGTGTGTGATCATGATTAAATACGCTACAATTTCAATCTTTTCATAGTTGATTTACTTACAATAGAACGCTAATACGGACATCTATTAAAATAATCTGAGACAACACAATGATTGATAATTTATGTTTAATTATTGTTTAATGGAACTATCATCACCACAGCAGGGTGCTCATTAATTTTGGTCAAGTTATTAATGTCTAATGTCAAATTGATGGCCACACAAGAAATTGAAATTCGAGACAGACTACCAGAAAAAAAACATGGTTTTCTCGCTTGTTAGATTGACCAAAACTTTGTATCGTTTTTTCTTGTTGAATTTGAGAGATATATCATAGAGGCTATTTCTGCAAGTAACAGAATAAAACAGTCTTCTATTGGGGTAATAATTGGGTGTTGTGGTTGATTTTGTATACTTTCTACATTCAACATTTATTTTATTATACGTTACTCACGAGTAGTATCTTAAAATCATGGAAGTTCAATTATCAGAGTAACAATTCCATATTCGCAAGAGCATACATTATGTAATATGCAATAAGAAACAAATTCAATGGTTACAAATAATCTAAATATCAAGTATGTTAGTTTGACGTGGAAATCATTCCGATGACATGTTATAAGCAGTAATTAGAATGCACGAGCACACCTCGGATCGACTTCCAAGAGCAGAATGAAATGTTTTAATCTTTATTTCCCAATTCAGGTAGAATGATGCTATCTTTACTACCAGAACCATGGGCTAAGGCATCATATTATGGGACTTGGGCCTTAAGAAACGGCAATAACTGGACATAAGGCATAGAAATTGTTGAAATTATCAAAAATAATTGGATGGATTATTATATTTGTGGCTTCGGCGGATATTGCAACTATCAGCTATTACTATAGTCTTTAGAATATCGTCGTATGCCATTTCCGTAATTATTTATGGCCACCTAAATTTAGTTCAGTCAAAATCAGATGGTCGAACCGAAGTTTTGTGGATTATAACAGTCCCAACTACATATTTTTCCCTGTGCAACTTCTCCAAGATGGTTGAGGGGACACCTTATGGCAGTCTAGGCCCAGATTCTATGGGAGAGAAACAGCCCGAAATAACAAATGTCTCTGAAATCCCAACACGTGTGGGTCTCTTCACAGAGCAGTTAACACTTCTTACGTTTAGTTAAAAAGCATCAATTAGCACGGAATCAGCATGATTCTACTCGAAACAAAAGCAGTCAAAAAGCTAACAAATTTTAAAATGATAGTGTATAGATTTACCACTGCGATGACTTCGGGTTTATCATAAAAAATCACGTTGGTTTTGAAAAAGAGGAGGCATGCCAGCGCTGGGTGCGAACAATGGAGTCGATATGTCAGACTGTAATTATAATGACAGTGCGCTAAAGGAACACACCGCAAATAGGATCGTATGTGTTTTAAAGCATGTTCTCTTTAATTGAGATCGCATATGAATTTAACATGATTCATTAAAAACATCTTAACATGTGAAAATTTGTTTAAGTTGCAGCCCGTCCGGACCTAAATTGGCCAAATGCAAGGGCTCGGCGGTTACATATCACCCTAATCAAAGCTCTACGTCAACGTGTTGACATGAAGTATTGTTCTAATGGCAAAATTTACAATTTTTATTCTAATTAAAATACTGTTACTGAATTCAGATTTGAGATTTGATTTTCCCGGAAAGCCGACAGAGTATTTAAATGGTGATGCATAAAATGAATAAAATCAATTTGTAGTATTTGGAAATCATCATATTTTCTTTTTATTGAGATAATTCTCATATTATTTATGAGGTGTATGGGTGAACAGATGTGAAACTTAATGTTAATAGTTAAATAATAGTAGGTTGTAGTTAAAAAAGAAGTAAAGCCTTGTTTTTTCGGCGAATGTGTGTTATTATGCACACGTCACAAACTTCGTGCGTCTATCTGGAAGAATCACGCACAAACATAAGTTCATTCTTAGCACGTGGTATTGAAACATATCTTCTGAGATATGTAAAATAGTTTCATTTTCATGTCATAATCGTGACTTAATCAAAGAGACTAGATTTCAAAATTAAATAATTAGCAACGATAACAAGACATGATCTGAATAGACCACATTTCAAAACGTGTTTAATTTGCAAGTAACATAAAAACTGTCAACTTGTAAAATCAATGCTATGCATTAAAAACTGTTTTTGTTTTATTTTTTCACTTCTTAATATAATTAATTCTCTAAGGGGAAAACGAAAGCAACTATATTCCGAAAAGAGAACCGTTAGATTTATCAGCATCCGCAAGATTGTCCTTCCACTCGACACTAGATTCATTTTGTAAGTGGGACCACTTAAGATCTTACTCTATCTGTCCACCCACTCACAACGGATTCTTATAACATATAATGAACCAGATAATATTATAATATTCTGTTCCTGTATGGGAATCGTCATACATAAACATTTTCTTGAAAATGAAATTTATGCGAATGTGAAGATCCGATAAAATATAAAAACACAAATCAATTTTTTGCGAGCGTGCATGTATGCGTATATCCATTTGACTGTTAATTTTTTAATAATACTATATGAAATCGTCAACAAATACTTCATGTGCAGTAGCTCAACACATGATTCTCGTAAAACGATTGTTATTAAAAGTCCACACTCAACCATTATTAAGAATGGATGCGTCCTGCTTATCAGTGTTAAGTTGCAGCTTTGTGTCACTCAGCCATTCCTCATTTGGCTACATCCTAAAACAAACACAATTTATTTTCAATTGAAAAGGCTAAATATATAGTCCCGAGGGTGCAACATTTATGTGCGTTCTAATTAAATTGGGAATTTAAATGTGTTAACATAACACACTCATTAATTTGTATTCATTACAACAATTGGCTTGATGGAGGTTAATGGATTGTTTAATGGCTTTGATCTATAGTCTATGTGGCTCTGTACATGGTGTGTGGGAGAAGGGATGCTCAATTCATTCATGAGTATTTGACATTTATACAAGTATGACCAAAATATACAATACTAACAAAATATACATAAATGATATGAACATGTTCAATGATGCAAACGATGTAGGCCAAAATATCACATAGCTATCATTTCTTTAACAAAAATGTGTCAAATTGTTTTCCTCAAATTACAATATTTAATATTCATCATTGAAATGGTATATTTGTCTTAACCAATTAAACCAAATGAAGCCTCTCAGAGACATATGATATTAGCTCCAAAATTTATATTGAAGCAATTCAATTGAAGTAAAACATACAATATAGGAATAATAGCATAAAATACTCAAATTAATAAATCTCAGTAGAGAGGTGGATCGTGATTCTGTAATTAGATGAGAGAGTATCACGTGTGGTGGGCGGAGGAACAGCGAATAGAAAATTATAAGTATCTATAGTTTGCAGCCAGCGATCTTCCTATTTAAATAGAATTGCGGCATCTTCAGCATCTAATTACAGAACAATTCTTATTTGAGGTGAAATATGAGCACTCAACATTAACCAGGAAGATAGAACGTAGCAAAGTTCTAAATAAAATATATCTAGTGTTAGTATCTCTACAAATTATATCAAGTAAGTAATTTAATTTTCATTTTAGTTCAGGATATTGGGCTACAATTATAATGCTTAAAATAAATCAGTGTAATGATCAGTCATCAGTAAATTAAGTGAATTACATAAGAGTAATTAATGCAAGTTCGGCTTATAAAATAAGTCCCAGAACCAACAGGGTTAATGGTGGTTGGTATATAGAAACATTCAACTGAATTTTTAATGCATATCGACAATAAGTAGGAACAATAAGTTGATTAATCAAATCGAGTATTCCAACTCTCTCAAAGGCTTTACAAATGCTATTTTCTTTGCAGCAGGGACATATAATCTATACAAAGCTAACACACATGATGAACAGGAAAATTTCAACCAGAGATAACCAAGCAGATGACTTCTCCTCAGATGAAGAAAGTGATATAGATTTTGATGATTCGGTGTCGGTGAACAATGACAACAATAACAACTCAGAAAAACATTGGCAAGAGGACAGACTTCTATTTAATGGCAAGGAACAATTTGTTAATGACACCAGTGTCGCGGGACCATCGGGACTGGCATTGGCGACCCGGGAATCATGGACAGGTTCACAGTTTGGCCATTCTTCCTTGTCGCCAAGACTGTCGTTTCTGAGCTATCTTCCAGAACAGAGGGAGTTTCTTCCAAAACAAATGCTAGATTCTCCACTAATATCGGATGGTTTCCCATCTATACGTAAAGGACATAGGCGGGTATTCACTAATACACGTGAAAGGTGGCGTCAACAAAACGTAAATGGTGCTTTTGCAGAACTGCGTCGTATTGTACCAACTCATCCGCCGGATAAAAAACTTAGCAAAAATGAGATTTTAAGACTTGCAATAAAATATATTAAATTGCTCATGAAAATTTTGGAATATCAGGACGGTAAGAGTACTTGTGCAGAAAATAGGGAGTATTCAAATGTAGCACATCAAAATAACGATAAACTTCGGGATCCTAGGAGTTCGCCAATTCTGTCGCCAGATGGCTCTCATAATGAATCTAGTTACTATGGTGATACTAGTGCTGATGATTCGAATTGAAGTAAATGAATCCGAATACAGGATTATTCTATTATATAGTTTGGTAACCCTGACTTCCACTCGGAAAGCCCGACAAAGCCGATTTATGCTTCGGGTGACTGTTGCTTCCTCTCTCAATATTCCGAATTTCTAGTCTCGGGCGTAAGGGATAGGATATCTTTTCCACTTTTCCACATACAACCGTAAACAAGTACGTTTGCGAACAAAATGAAGTATTTATTAATAAACTAGAGTTTATGAGCAAAATAATCATGTATGATTTATTAAAAATTGGTATCGTATTTTTTGTTTAATGTACACCTGAAAAGTTGAAGGTAACAAAAAATGAGCAAAAAAGGTCACTGTCACAGATTCTATTTTTCAAACTATATGACGTCACAATATGGGACGCTTACTAAGAATTCATCCTTTCAAATAACACTTCCATCTACTTTTATCAAAATGATAGTCAAATGTGAGTTATGAGCGTTTAAAGACGAAAAATTGTTCAAAATGTAACGTGTCGACAGCGGATATTTGCCAGATTTTGGCCGGGGTAAAAAAACTCGTTTTAAAAAAAGAACGCGTAAAAATGGTATATACATTTGATTAGAATAATATCTTATATTCCGAAGAATTAAAGTTACATTCATGCAATACCCTAAAAACACAAGTGCGCCACCTTTTTGCGACGTGGCTATAGGAAAGCTAGGTAGTCACCAGTGCAAAGGTTGTAGGTTAGTCCCTGAGCTGATTCTTCTAAGAGCTCTTGATAAGGAGTTTGTTGTCCGGGTGTCCGCCTCAAAAATCAACTACTGCATACCATAGTGTTCCTATATATGCTCTACACTCACTGGGTTATGGTATATTTATCCGGTACAGGCCCGTAAGACACTTTTCTCCAAGGGGGGTGCGGTTTTTACTAAAGAGAATATAAAATCGTCAATTTTTTGCCGCGTAAACCAAATCGCATAAGTCAGAGTGGGGGGGGGGGTCGGTCACTCCCCCTAGAAGATTTTACAGTTTTGAGATGCTATTTGGTGCATTCTGGGCACTTTCAAAGTGTATGAGTCAATAAGAAAAATGTGATTTTTTCAAATTCTTTTGGGGGTGTCAAAAAGGATGAGAGGGTGAAGTGGGGGAGCAAGGGGTCGTCCCCCAGAAACATTGACCATATCAAGGTGCAATTTGATGAGGTCTGGGCACTTAAAAAATGTCTGAGACAATACATGAAATTCAGAATATTTTCTTTTGTTTTGTGGGGGATGTTAGGGGTGGCTTACTCTCATAGAAAATTTTACAATTTAAAGATGATATTTGGTACTTCTGGGCACTTTTAAAGTGTATTAGTCAATAAAAACATTGAAAAACAATCATAATTTTTTTCAAATTTTGGGGGTGTCAAAGGGGAGGGAGGGGTGCCAGAGGGGGAGGTGGAGTTGGGGTGCCAGAGGGGGAGCAAGTGTTTGTCCCCCATATCTGTCCCCCAGAAACATTTACGATATCTAGGTGCTATTCGATGAAGTCTGGGCACTTTAAAAGTGTCTGTGCCTATCAGTTCCCAAGAAAATTTTACAATTTTAAGATGCTGTTTGGTGCTTTCTGGGCACTTTCAGAGTGTATGAGTCAATAAAAATTTGAAAAATCTTAATTTTTTTTTAATTTTTGGGGGGCAGGGGGTGTGTCAAGGGGGGATGCCAGATTTTACGACACTATTTGGTGCTTCCTGGGCACTTTCAAAGTGTATGAGTCAATTAAAGAATTTGAGAAAATCACAACTTTTATCCAATTTTTTTTTTGGGGGGGGGTCAAGGGGGGGGGGGGCGCCAGAGGGGGAGGTGGTGTGGGGATGAAAGTGCAAGATGCAAGAGGAAAGCAAGTGTTAGTCCCCCAGAAACACTAACTGTATCAAGGAGCTATTTGATGATGTCTGTGCACTTTAAAAGTGTCTGGGACAAAACACTGAAATAAATTTAGATTTTTTCCATTGTTTTGTGGGGGGTGTGAGGGGTGGCAAATACCCCTAGAAAATTTTACAATTTTAAGATGCTATTTGGTGCTTTCACCTAGAAAATGAGGATTTAGGCAAGGATGTATTGACTTAACATGGGCTATATCCACTATGGACATATCTGGACATAGACATAGACATGGACATATCCATGGGGCCTATAATCATATTACCAAGCCATCATAGATATCTATTTGGGTTTCTGTCGCCCTGTAAATTTTATACATGCCGCATTACCTTTTTGAAGCATTAGACCGGGTTTTTATTGACCAAAACATTGGGTCATGCAGATTTTTTCTATAGCAGACGTTTGCACCCTGTGGGTACCATATAATTGACATTTTTCAAATTTTATGTTCTCTTGTTAATCTAAAGTACTTAATTCCTATCAAAACCAATTGATATGATACTTCAAATGCAGTTCATGTGGTAGAAATATGTATATTATTAAAAGTTGTTTTTAGAAGGCAACCTTGGGTGACCCTATTTTAGAGGCAAAAGCCCCTGTTACAATCAAAACGAAATACGTATTTTTTAGAAGGGGAATTCAGTACTTTGAAATGGTATGTTCATTTTTGTGGCAGATGACGGGACAACGAAACTACATTTTTAGGAGCAGCTCAGGCATGTCAGGGGCTATTGGTGGTTCAAATCCCATGACTAACCACTTTCTTTGTTGCCCAACTGTATTTGCGCGTACTTATTTATATGCAATATGGTTCATGTACATGAACTATTCAAATAACACTGGTGATCCGCTCGATTACGCTGGTTACCGAAACGGTTCGTTTCAGTAACAAAATGTCGGAACGTCGAAGGTACGATTTTTCTTTTTTCTTTATTTCACGCGCTGTAGACAGAATCCTAACAGTTCTCTCACAAACGTGTATCAGCATCATATATTTTAGAAAATTTGCAAAAAAATAGCTCAGAAGACAACAGAATCGTCGATTTGATTCCTCGATTAAGTTACATAAACGGTATGGATTAAAAGTGTAGATCTTTACCGTTTTTCGAAATACCGTTTATGTAACTTACGATACGTCAGCGTAACAAGATGGAAGAACTTCCGGGCTTCGTTTTCGGTAAGATATTTTTATTTCTCGATTCTACACCACTTATAAGTCAAGTTGTGGACAATAATTTGGCTCAAAGTTAAGGGAGATAGTCTAGTTTAAGAATATGCAGGCGGTTCTATGTTTGGTATATTAACGACTCGGACGCAATTTACATATTTAGCCCCTCGCTTTTGTTACGTTGACGATCTTCATGAATATTGTCACATTGGCAATATTCATTTGACACCAAAAACACCTCAAACAGATCACATCAGAGTTGACACTAGATCATGAAAATATATTTTCGATCTATTAATTTATATATTTCAGGTTTTTAGCAATGCCATTGAAAGATGGCATTGTTGTTTGCATTAATTATCCATTCATTTTTGATAGGATTTTCAACCATGCGCCATCTTTTAATCCAAGAGTTATTTAAAACATACACTTTGTGAAAAGTGGTAATTCACTTCTTTTGATCTCTGAACTTCAAATGCTTTCTATGCAAGTAATTTTTCTTTCACTTCAGTATTAACCCAAATTAAAGTTTTATCATATTTGATTGAGTGTGTGAGTAACATGTCTCAAATAATGTTTTGTCCCTTTTCCTTCAAAAATAAGGTCTAAATAAAGTCTCACTTTTGATCTTCATAGTATTTCCAATGGAAATACAATGCAAGTACCTGATCTTTCATTTGACACCAAAAACATTTCAAACAGATCACATCAGAGTTGACACTAGATCATGAAATATATTTTCGATCCATCAATTTATATATTTCAAGTTTTTAGCAATGCCATTGAAAGATGGCATTGTTGTTTGCATTAATTATCCATTCATTTTTGATAGGATTTTCAACCATAGGCCATCTTTTAATCCAAGAGTTAAATTATAAACGGTTATGTGGCTGACAAGCAAAATAATGTTCAGTGATATTAAATCTACCAATACAATATATTTAGAACAGTGGAGCTTCAACAGGAGGAAGTTGTTGAAATTTTTTCAATTAATTTAGTACTAAAGGTGTTGATCCATAGACGCATAGCAAAGAACTGAAGTATATACATTTAGATGCACTTTTTAGCCACTAAAGCAATGACGTAAGCAGACAGCATGTACACACATGGAAATACAAATGCAAGAAAGTGATACAGTATCGGTGTTTATTGTTATAATTTGAAATAAAGAAATACAATATATAAAAAAAAGAATCAGATCTAGCAAGCGGGCCAACAAAATAAATTTTATAATATTTCTGGCTCATGGCATTCCTTGTCATGCCTATTTTCTAAACATCGCCATAGTACACACTTTTTTCAGGATGGTTACCATTCTTATTTTTTAGGAGAATTTAAACATTTTCACCCATTTTTGAACTTTGAATCCATAATAACTTCACCAATTTAGAACAGATAGTGAATCTTTTGGGAGATTGTATTTGAGCTTTGAAAGAATAGATTAATAGGTCAATTGCACATGTCGTTTGTAATTTTTTGACCCCTATAGATCTGATTCTGCCTTTAATCACATAGGTTATTGTGTCATTTAAAAATTCTCCATTGGTTTACTGGGTTTTCCCAGAAGAATCTTATGACCATATGTGGTATCCCTTATTAAAATATTGATATAAACAAAGTACTGCACATGTATCTCTCAACATTCATTAACATTTAGCCTACATGCAAGTAAATTTTTACAAAGAATAAATTCAGCCAGGTGGTCTGGAATATTTGATCAGATTTCTTGCCCCTAGGCTGGGGAAATTGACACATTTATTTGGCCCGCATGGGGAGGAGGTCTCAAGCGAACTTTTGAATGGTGCATTACATCCTCTGACCACTGCACTCCAAGATCTAGAATTAATCCTCTTAAGTGAAACAAGTTCTGTAGCCCTGTGTTAGAGGCTGTAGCGGCCTTTGAATCCACTTTTATGCATATTTGAAGAATAGAATCATGGGACAAGGTGTACAACCAAGCCACTGATGATAAGCCAGAAAATGTTTTGTTTTCAACACTACCAAGAGTTCCTTGAACCTTCATTATTTGCTATCCTGTGCCATTTTGATTATTTAGTATTTCCGCAACAGAAAACTTATAAAGTTCAGCATTTATCTTTTTAATTCTTTCAAGTTCTTTTCTGAGTTCTATGATTTCACTTCCATTTGTTGTTTTCCCTCTCTCAGTAGATACATCATCCTGGGGAGCAAAATAAATCAATGATTAGTCTTCTCTTTTTGTCATCTTTTAAGAATGTAGTGCACATGTACTTTTATGATTGAATATCATGCCATGAAATATTATATGAATATTTAATTCTATTGAGGTGAATACCTGTGCATCTTTCACAAGTAATGTTTCACAAAGAACATAGGGCTAGTGGAATATCATCTTGTGGATGTGTCACAGGTATTTACCGAAAATATATACCAAATATTCCATTCTATTGAGGTGAATACATGTTCTCTTTCCCTCAGTATATTTCCCGCAACCCGATGGGCTGCGGGAAATATACCTGTAAGACATTGATTTTAATAAAAAATAAATAAATAAAAAAAAGACATAATACAAAAATTATGTATAGTGCCCTAACATTGCTTGTTTGGTTTGAAGCATATCTGGAGGTGAACATTGTTGATCTTCTTGAAGCTAAAAATTGTGCATGCAAGACTCATAATCTCCATTTTGACATTGTATAATATATAATGATATACATTAAATGTTTACCTTGTCATTCATTGCCACCATATACTCTTCTATTAATGATGTGTCATCATCATTGCACTGGGAGTCCTGTAATAAAATAAATATCTTAATAACATATAAAACTAATAAATTATTGAAAAACAGCAACTCCACGGATAGTGGAGAATTAGAAACATATTTTGATCATTTGTGGCCATCTTGAAAATTCTTTCTTGAGCAGAGCTTGTTTGTCCCTAGGCATCAACATATAAAATTTGAACAAAATTCATTCAGTGCTATTTGAGTTTAGGCCATTCCCCTCCATACATTTACAATCATATGAAGTGCAACTGCAATAAACATACTTACTTGCTGATTTGCATTTTTTTATTATTTTTGTTTACACCATGTTAAATTCTCAATGAAATTTTGTTTTCTAGCTTTAAAAATTAAATCAATTGAAGAAGAAATTATTGAATCACAAATTCATTTGGGACAGAGGCATTCCATTCGCAACATATTGCTGTTTTGTTGACAAAATTTTCTTATGCAAATTATAGCAAAAATGCTCATTTTTAATGCATTACATAGACTTTAATTCAGTATGTCTCATTGTTTGTCTATGCAACATGAACTGCCTTCTGATAGCAGAGTTTTGTAAGATATTTTGCTACAAATTGTCCATTTAAACTCATTTTTGTAAGATTTTCTCCATAATCATATGTATGCAGGTAGCCCAAGAACTCTGATGTGTTTTTTTGATGACATAAGCTTAAGCTGAACAGTAAAACATACATATTTCTACATTGGAGATAATACTATATGTATGCTTATGGTGTAGAGAAAGTCTGTTAAGACCCAGTGTCTTGATACCTTCCATACCTCTATGTTCCCCTGTATTCTGACTGGTATAGTGTGTCTAATGCTGGGTTCAGGAATAAAGAGCTGTCTTTTAAAGGGCTGCACAGGTAGGTTGGGCTTAGCATCCCCAAGTAAGGCGCCAGGTGTAGGTACTATCAGTGCATTCACAATTGGTCCTAAAACATACAACCCATCATCAATGTCATGCAATTATCTAAATAGTGACCTAATAAGTGCCATAGTTTGCTCAAATAGGTTTTTATCCATGAGACTTAAATTCTTAAACGACTAGTCTCGATTTGGAGAATGAAGTTCATCAGTCTACTACATGTTACATTTTCCATTCAGGTATGGTCTAGTGATTGTCCAAAAATTTTAAAAAAGCAATTTTCTGAAATTGATATTTCTGTCTTAGCCATTATTTGAGCCATCTCTGGATTGCTTTCCTACATATTATCAATAGTATGTCAAATCTACTCATTTTATCAATAATCTTGTCAAATATGAAAAAGTGACTGCTTAGGAAAATTCTAATGTTTCATGCATTGAACTCTCTATCTGCACAAGAAATCATGAAAATTCCTTCAAAATTGAGATACAATTGAGGGGTAACATTTCTGGGGTCATACTGTACAGGGAATTCATTTGAAGCCCCTCCCCTAGAAATGAATGAATATGAATCGTTCAATAATAAGAAGTTTTTGAGATAAAATAAAGCCCTGATATTTTGAGAAGTATATACAAAATATGTATATTCATTCACCAGAAAGAGAGGATTAGTATTGCGCAAGTTTCAAATCAAGTGTCCAAAAAAAGTTAAATTAAAATGTATGATCTTGCCTCCAGATTTCAGGATATCTATTTAGTAAAAGATTCACCAAAACTGTCCTTATACAGGAAATCAAATTGTCTAACTTTTTCAAATTCAATTTTGCTTTCATTACACTGTACATATTATACAAATAAGAATTCAAACATAAGGATGCTTAAACATTCCAATGGGGGAGTTACGGTTGCCAAACTTTTGGAGGGGGTGTAAATTGTATGTATGAAAAATACAAAAGTGGTTTTATGTGATCAAATATTGTTTTTAAGAAAAATGGCAGCCATTTTGGATTTCAGCCGCCATCTTGGAAATTATTTCTTGAACAAATTTTTTTCCCAGGGCATACTCATATACAATTTGAACCAATAAAGGAGTTTCTAAATAGCTTTGAAATCTCGCTAATTCTCGTTTTTACATGAGATTTTAAGAGATTTGCACTTTTTTCCTCTAATGAATTACTTTTCTTTATTTTTGATAGCATATTTGGATTCAGTGACAAATTTTCTCCAATTATAGCTTTGATTTAAACAGTTGTGTCATTAAAATCACTTTCCATGACATTTTTAAAAAACTTGGGCCAAATCTCCATTGGTGCAATGCTGAAATTCATTAAAACCTTGGTTTTTTCGTATGACAACCAATATTTTCATGGTTAATCACAATATGTACATGGACAGGGTCATCCAATAGTATGCCATTCAAATTTCAAACAGATTCAACCAACACTCTTTGATAAATCATGAAATTAAGTGACTGTTGCAAGACTCTAACATTGGAGTGAGTGGAGGTCTGGCCCTAGAAAATCAAAGACAAGCAAGGGTGACATCTATTATGTCAGCACTTTTCAGCTATTTCAAAACTATACTATTCCATTCACTGGTATCTGAGTTATCAAAGATTACATTTTTTTTCGAAAACTGGCTGTATGTCCCAGATCTCTTACCTTAATATGGTATGGTTCTGATGTACTGTTTGCTAAGTATGTCTCAGATCTCTTACCTTAATGTGGTATGGTTCTGATGTACTGTTTGCTAAGTATGTCCCAGATCTCATACCTTAATGTGGTATGGTTCTGATGTACTGTTTGCTAAGTATGTCCCAGATCGCTTACCTTAATGTGGTATGGTTCTGATGTACTGTTTGCTAAGTATGTCCCACATCTCTTACCTTAATGTGGTATGGTTCTGATGTACTGTTTGCTAAGTATGTCCCAGATCTCTTACCTTAATGTGGTATGGTTCTGATGTACTGTTTGCTAAGTATGTCCCAGATCTCTTACCTTAATGTGGTATGGTTCTGATGTACTGTTTGCTAAGTATGTCCCAGATCTCTTACCTTAATATGGTATGGTTCTGATGTACTGTTTGCTAAGTATGTCCCAGATCTCTTACCTTAATATGGTATGGTTCTGATGTACTGTTTGCTAAGTATGTCCCAGATCTCTTACCTTAATATGGTATGGTTCTGATGTACTGTTTGCTAAGTATGTCCCAGATCTCTTACCTTAATATGGTATGGTTCTGATGTACTGTTTGCTAAGTATGTCCCAGATCTCTTACCTTAATGTGGTATGGTTCTGATGTACTGTTTGCTAAGTATGTCCCAGATCTCTTACCTCTTGGTATGGTTCTGATGTACTGTTTGCTAAGTATGTCCCAGATCGCTTACCTTAATGTGGTATGGTTCTGATGTACTGTTTGCTAAGTATGTCCCAGATCTCTTACCTTAATATGGTATGGTTCTGATGTACTGTTTGCTAAGTATGTCCCAGATCGCTTACCTTAATGTGGTATGGTTCTGATGTACTGTTTGCTAAGTATGTCCCAGATCTCTTACCTTAATGTGGTATGGTTCTGATGTACTGTTTGCTAAGTATGTCCCAGATCTCTTACCTTAATGTGGTATGGTTCTGATGTACTGTTTGCTAAGTATGTCCAAGATCTCTTACGTTAATGTGGTATGGTTCTGATGTACTGTTTGCTAAGTATGTCCCAGATCTCTTACCTTAATGTGGTATGGTTCTGATGTACTGTTTGCTAAGTATGTCCCAGATCTCTTACCTTAATGTGGTATGGTTCTGATGTACTGTTTGCTAAGTATGTCCCAGATCTCTTACCTTAATGTGGTATGGTTCTGATGTACTGTTTGCTAAGTATGTCCCAGATCTCTTACCTTAATGTGGTATGGTTCTGATGTACTGTTTGCTAAGTATGTCCCAGATCGCTTACCTTAATATGGTATGGTTCTGATGTACTGTTTGCTAAGTATGTCCCAGATCTCTTACCTTAATGTGGTATGGTTCTGATGTACTGTTTGCTAAGTATGTCCCAGATCTCTTACCTTAATGTGGTATGGTTCTGATGTACTGTTTGCTAAGTATGTCCCAGATCGCTTACCTTAATGTGGTATGGTTCTGATGTACTGTTTGCTAAGTATGTCCCAGATCTCTTACCTTAATGTGGTATGGTTCTGATGTACTGTTTACTAAGTATGTCCCAGATCGCTTACCTTAATATGGTATGGTTCTGATGTACTGTTTGCTAAGTATGTCCAAGATCGCTTACCTTAATATGGTATGGTTCTGATGTACTGTTTGCTAAGTATGTCCCAGATCGCTTACCTTAATATGGTATGGTTCTGATGTACTGTTTGTTAAGTATGTCCCAGATCTCTTACCTTAATGTGGTATGGTTCTGATGTACTGTTTGCTAAGTATGTCCCAGATCGCTTACCTTAATGTGGTATGGTTCTGATGTACTGTTTGCTAAGTATGTCCCAGATCTCTTACCTTAATGTGGTATGGTTCTGATGTACTGTTTGCTAAGTATGTCCCAGATCTCTTACCTTAATGTGGTATGGTTCTGATGTACTGTTTGCTAAGTATGTCCCAGATCGCTTACCTTAATGTGGTATGGTTCTGTTGTACTGTTTGCTAAGTATGTCCCAGATCGCTTACCTTAATGTGGTATGGTTCTGATGTACTGTTTGCTAAGTATGTCCCAGATCGCTTACCTTAATGTGGTATGGTTCTGATGTACTGTTTGCTAAGTATGTCCCAGATCTCTTACCTTAATATGGTATGGTTCTGATGTACTGTTTGCTAAGTATGTCCCAGATCTCTTACCTTAATGTGGTATGGTTCTGATGTACTGTTTGCTAAGTATGTCCCAGATCGCTTACCTTAATGTGGTATGGTTCTGATGTACTGTTTGCTAAGTATGTCCCAGATCGCTTACCTTAATGTGGTATGGTTCTGATGGATTGTTTACTAAGTATGTCCCAGATCTCTTACCTTAATGTGGTATGGTTCTGATGTACTGTTTGCTAAGTATGTCCCAGATCTCTTACCTTAATGTGGTATGGTTCTGATGTACTGTTTGCTAAGTATGTCCCAGATCTCTTACCTTAATGTGGTATGGTTCTGATGTACTGTTTACTAAGTATGTCCCAGATCTCTTACCTTAATGTGGTATGGTTCTGATGTACTGTTTACTAAGTATGTCCCAGATCTCTTACCTTAATGTGGTATGGTTCTGATGTACTGTTTGCTAAGTATGTCCCAGATCTCTTACCTCTTGGTATGGTTCTGATGTACTGTTTGCTAAGTATGTCCCAGATCGCTTACCTTAATGTGGTATGGTTCTGATGTACTGTTTGCTAAGTATGTCCCAGATCGCTTACCTTAATGTGGTATGGTTCTGATGTACTGTTTGCTAAGTATGTCCCAGATCGCTTACCTTAATGTGGTATGGTTCTGATGTACTGTTTGCTAAGTATGTCCCAGATCGCTTACCTTAATGTGGTATGGTTCTGATGTACTGTTTGCTAAGTATGTCCCAGATCGCTTACCTTAATGTGGTATGGTTCTGATGTACTGTTTGCTAAGTATGTCCCAGATCTCTTACCTTAATATGGTATGGTTCTGATGTACTGTTTGCTAAGTATGTCCCAGATCTCTTACCTCTTGGTATGGATCTGGTGTTTTATTTGCTAAGTATGTCCAAGATCTCTTACCTTTATGTGGTATGGTTCTGATGCATTGCTTGCTTGATATATCCCAAATCTTGACATTCCCATCTTGTGAACCTGATACCAGCAGACTGCCATCTAGGGAGATATCAAGGCATGATACTTCTTTACTGAAATAAATGAAGTTTGCTATTTAGACAATATTCATGATCAAATGATTTTACGCTTTTCAAACTCTTTTGTCCATAGCTAACTCTCATATTAACCCTTAAACAGAGAGGAGGATCTGCCCCCTAAAGAATTTTTTTGATAACTTTTTTCGTTATTTGTCCTTTAATCAGAAACTTTCTGACTTCTCTTAAAACTGAACTGGGCATGTTTTAAAGAAAGAATTGTAACTTTAATCATTCCCCTTGGAGGAAAGTTAGAGCTGGTCAAAGTTACTGTAATACCAAACTTGTCAGCAGTTTTTACTTGAAACGATAAACCCCCGTGTAAATTAAACTAGAAATCGGTAACACCAAGATATAGCAAATCCCAACGAACACTATATATTCATGAATCTGTATATGTCACAATATAATTATTTCATGGATGGATGGAGGGCTTCACTATATCCCCACCAAACTTTGTTCATTGGGATAATAAACCTACCCAATAAATATGACTGACACAGACCTGGATATTGTCCAACTTACAGTCTAACATACCTGTGTCTATTGAAACTGATGTAGTCACCATCGCTTTGGTTGTGCCTTTTAAAGTGAACTGGCTGAAACAGTCAGATGTAAAACTTTAAAATTAGTTAAGTGTTCAAACAGACATGCTTCCCCTTAATTAGGTATTTGTACTTGAATTTTTTTCAATTCTTACATACATGTATTGGTATGCATCGTCTTTGATGCCTATATTCTTCATTTATCATGGTTTGAGCTATCAGAAGAAGGATATGATATTAATCTTTAATGGTATTTTTAAATGATTTGAGTAGAAATATAACATTTGAATCAATTTCAACCACTGTAATTTGATTTATCAAAGATAACATCTTTTTAAAATGGCAGCCATTTTGAATTTCAGCTGTGATCTTGAAAATTTTCTCTCAAGAAGACTTCCTTTGTCTATAGGCATAAGCATATAAAATTTGAACCAAATCCATCCACTGATATTTAAATTATCAAAGATTACATTTTTAAATGAAAAATGGCAACAATTTTGAAATTTTGCCGCCATCTTGAAAATTACTTCTTCAGCAGAGCTTGTTTCATATAAAATTTGAACCATATGCATCCACTGGCTTTTGAGTTACACCCTATACTTAGTGAGCGGACCTAATTTCAAGGGTGATGGTAAAGACGAGGCAGGGCGCCCAAACCTAACTGTAGCAGACCAGCAGTAAGTTTATTTCTCTAAGTTCTACTCTTTATTGGCCTTGTGCTGGCCTGTAACTAGGTGCACTGATGCTTCAGATGCCTATAATTAGATTCGTAATGAAAGAAAGATTCATACTTATATGTGAAACGGATACGAAGTGATGTGAAAAGAAAAATTAATTTTCTGCATATTTTTTTTTCGATTATTTTCAAAATAATGATACTTCTCCTGCATAGAATTCCTTGATATTGCATGTAATTATTGTTGATGAACGTATTTATATCGTAAACCCATCCATTTCCCAATTTGAGCCGTAATTGCAGTCAAATCATAAAAAACACCCTACAAATAAAATGAAAATTCGAAAAATCGTTAATGTCTGCCATGTTAACAACCTCTCACTACATCTGTCATGGTAACAACCTCTGACTACATCTGTTATGTTAACAATCAATAACTACATCTGCCATGTTAAAAATCTCTGACTACATCTGCCATGTTAACAACCTCTGACTACATCTGTCATGGTAACAACCTCTGACTACATCTGTTATGTTAACAACCAATAACTACATCTGCCATGTTAAAAACCTCTGACTTCATCTGCCATGTTAACAACCTCTCACTACATCTGTCATGGTAACAACCTCTGACTACAACTGTTATGTTAACAACCTCTAACTACATCTGCCATGGTAACAACCTCTGACTGCATCTGCAGTGTTAACAACCTCTGATTACATCTGCCATGTTAACAACCTCTCACTTCATCTGTCATATTAACAACCTCTGACTATATCTGTCATGTTAACAATCTCTGACTACATCTGCAGTGTTAACAACCTCTGATTACATCTGCCATGTTAACAACCTCTCACTTCATCTGTCATATTAACAATCTCTGACTATATCTGTCATGTTAACAATCTCTGACTACATCTGCAGTGTTAACAACCTCTGATTGCATCTGCCATGTTAACAACCTCTCACTTCATCTGTCATATTAACAACCTCTGACTACATCTGTCATGTTAACAATCTCTGACTACATCTGTCATATTAACAACCTCTGACTACATCTGTCATGACTCTATCTGCCATGTCAACAGCATCTGACTACACTTGTCATGTATATAAAGTCTGACTTCATTTATTATGTTAACAATTTCTGAATACACCTGCCATGTTAACAACCTTTGACATCAACAATCTCTGACTACATCTGTCATGCGTCTGATTTTTTATGACTTTGTCAACATTTGTTAAAAAAAGTGTGGGCCAGTTACCATTTCTACAATTTTAAGATTCTTTTAAGTTATTCTATTTATTCGTTCAACAACCAACACTTTTTGATAAATCATAAAATCAAGTGACTACATGTTTTGCAAGTTTTTACCATTGATTGAAGCCTATGACAACCTTGCCCAAATTCATTAATTTATTAATTGACAGTGTACATTTTAGCTAAATTTACCAGTACACGTAGCAGCTAAGTGCTTGCCCATAGCCACTCCTCTTCGCAAATTACATCGCCATTGTTCGTCATCGAAATTCTGATCGCCGAATAGTAAACATTCATTTTGTATTGGATGTACATAACTAGAGACCGCCTTATTTCGCATATATGAAAAAATAAAACATATCTAGGTACATATATAAGGGTTATGTACTGGGAGGTTTCGGATATGGGGTTTATCCAGAGGGAGATATGCATATCTACCTGAGGGACCGTAGGGACCGAAGGTAGATGTGCATATCTCACGAGGGATGAACCCAATATTCAAACCAACCGTACATAACTGCTTTATCCTATACCAAGTAGAGTTTTCAGCGGCATATGGCCATTTCAATAGTACAAAGTGTAAAAATAAACACACCATTCGTATGCAAAGTCATTTTATTGCATTTCCACTACTTACCGGAAGCGGGAAGATATGCACCGAAGCGGGAGATATGGCGGGAGATATGGAGGTTCTGGATATGGAAACCTCAAAATCAGAATACGGGATATATCTTACCAACTTATCTCCCTAAAACTCTACTTGGCATAGGATAAATCTTTATATGTGACATCGATCAGGAATTATTGACATATTGACAATATTAGGTTGTAATTTCTTGCGGTAAATTCAAATTGTATCTTTAAACGACTGTTTCATCTTAACTATTCGTTTTATTGGATGTAAAACAAACGGTATGCATAGTTTAACATCTTTCACTTCTAAAACAGCATAAAATATCACAATATCATCACCTAATGCTGCAATAATACGACTTAAAAGATTATGGTACTAATATTCTTTGGTTTTTAGGTGCCATGCCTCGTCTTTACCATCACCCTTAAAATTAGGTCCGCTCACTAAGCATAGGGTGAGTTATAGACGATTATATTTTTTGTGAATGAATAGAACCATGGGTATTGCGCTCACATGGGAAGGTTTCAATATTTTTAATGTTTTGCAGGAGGAGCTTAGAATAATCAGGGGATTCATTAGCAGCAGGTAACAGCCCATTGTTTTTAGGGACTTTTCAATTTCTCTTTGTTAAATTTATCATGTTGTTTTCATTTATTAAGCCTGTTGTGAGAAACGGATGGATGGTTTTTTTCAAAAAATGGCAGCCATTTTGAATTTGAGCTGCCATCTTGAAAAAAATTTCAGAGCTTCATCATCCCTAGGCATCAGCATATAAGATTTAAGCCAAATCCATCCACGAGTATTTGAGTTATCAAAGATTATATTTTTACGTAAAATGGCAGCTCTTTTGAATTGAGCAGCCATATTGAAAATTCCTTCTTGAGCATAGGTCGTACACCTTTGAGGCATTAGTCTATAAAATTTGAATCAAATCTGTCTACTAGTATTTGAGTTATCGCACGGACAGATGAATGAACTAACGGACAGACAAACAGACAGATGGACGGACAGCTTTCCTATATCCCCCACAAACTTCTTTCGATGGGATAATGAGAGACATTCACCTTTTCAAATAAACTGACTTGATAAATGTGTCCATTGCTACAACCGACAAAAAGGGTACTTTCTGCAGAATCCAGGACAACAGAAGTCAAGGAAGTGTCAAATGTGATGTTAAACAACATCTCTCCTGATATGATGTCCCATAGCTAAAAAACAAAAGGCATGTATCTGTACATGTATATTAATTATATGATCAAAAGGTGTCCACTTAAAAACATATTATCATGCCTAAACATCGACAATGTACAGTGACAAAATATACTGTCGTACGTTCACTTTAGATGTTCGGTGTCACTATTAACTGATTTGAAACAAAAACTATGATGTAGGTTTGATGAAGGTTTTAAAAAATTAATTTTTGGAATACATTAAGGATTTCATGTTTAATTTCGCGTGTATTCACTTGGAAACACCATTAGCTTTCTGATTATGTTATTCTGATTCTCAAGCAGTGCTTGATTTTTTTTGTCGTAAATCTACCCAAAAAATTGATCGTTTGGAAAATGTTGTTTTTTCACATTTTAGAGTGGAGAAGGGGGACCTAATAATATTTCTGCTCCACATGTCCTAGTTCACAATTTATGACATCATGCCACTTTTGAAAATCTGAATAAATACCTGTTTATTTGAAATGAAGATTGTTCACATACCTTACAGGTGTGATCTAACGAGACAGTGGCCACCCTTGTTTGTGGACCCCCACATCCAACACATACATCTGTCACAGGTAGACTGTGCTTCATCCAAACATGCTTTGGCTCAACAGACTGACCATTAGACTGCTGATTTAAAACACTGAAATAAAGCACATGAAATATAAGTAGTTCTGAACTAAACTAGAAAAACAGCAACTCCCTAGATAAGCTTAATTCCACAAACAAATAATATTTATAAAATCACTCATCCTTTTTAATATCACAAGACAGAAATAACAAGGACAAAGTACAGAAGTACAGTATCATTGTCTCCTTCGAGTTTGATTCAGATTTAAGTTTTTACATAGCATGTTTTACATAAAATTAGTTCAGATGATATTTTTGCTCTATTCTAATCTTATTTTTTTGCTAAAAAATGTAACCTTGAGAATTCTTTTCAATGTTTTTAGTGTTCACTGGGATGTGAAAAGCTTGAATAACTGTTATGTACACTGTACATTATCTGACATTGTATCGAAATGAAAATCTTTCTGAATCTTGTAATTTTTCTTCAAGAAATATATGATGACTTGGCCTTAATAAATAATAATTAGGAGGCCCCATTGGGGCATCCATCCATCCACCCACCCATAATTAGGAGGCCCCATCAGGGCATCCATCCATCCATCAATCCATCCATAAAAAGTGATTATGAATTTTTGCTGATTTCTTTTTACAAAATTATTGCATATAATTATTGTAAACAATAACATAGGCTTTTACAACAAAGTACACCTGAAATTATTTATAAAGCTACGAAATAGTTAAAGTATGAAAACTCAAAAACACCATTCAAATATGATAAAATGAATTATCACGCACTAAATTTTCTTAAGACATTCAAAATGGCTGCCATGACTGATGTAGATCTAGAATGAAGTGAGCTGAACAAGATGTTAAAGTTAAAACTGTGAAGCCATTTTCCTTAAAGTTTGCAGACAAGGATTTTAGCATTTGACTTTTTCATTTGATTTGATTTTTTCATCAACATCTGTATGCACTCATAATTTATCCCTGAAAATTTGAAGGTGATATCTGTGGCAGTTTTAGAGAAAACTGTCGGACGAACATACGGACGGACGGATGGAGAGACAGATGGACGGACGGATAGACAGACGGACAGACAGATGGACAGACGCGCCTAGGCCAACAATATGGCCCTACACTATGTGATGGGGACATAAAAACATTTTGGACTGAAGCTAATAAAATGCATAAACTTACTCAGGAAGCGACCACACTAGTACAAGGTTGTCATCTCCTGCTGATATGAAATGACTGCCATCATTTGTGAACTTGAGGCATGTCACTGCCTGGTAGTGTCTGGATATGCTAATCAGAAGGTTACCTGAACAGACCTAGAGATACAATAAAATCATTCTATAGTAACAGCTTGGGATTGGAAGATTTTTCATAAAAACATAACATTTTATGTTTCAACTCAGTTAATTCATTATATAGAAGAAAACAGTAAAGTCTCCTTTTGGAAAAATTTACATCCATAATATGTGACTTTTTCCTGAGAAATGGTGACAATTTTGAGTCAGCATTTCTTTCTTTCATTTCTGATATTTAATTTGGGTGTTATATCTATGTTTTTCAGAAAAAAAATATTAACCCAATAGACTGCTCTCCAAAACGAGACTTGTCCTCAGTTGAAATAAATAAAATAACACATGGTCAGATGAGGGACATTTCAAAATTAAATACCTCCCAAATGTATATTTTCTCTGTAACTGCAGCAACACAATATTTTCCATCAGGTGACACACATAGGGTTGAAATCTTTCCAGGGGCTATCATCTTCACATCATGTTGATCCTAGTGCAAAATGTTCATAATTTTAATACAGATAATATGACTAGTTAAAAGAATATGTAAGCATTCATATACAGGGAGGTAAAAAAATGGAAACCCTAACCTCCATTTTCCTCATATCTTTGACCTTTTCCTGATATTTTACACATTTGTATATCATTTAATTTCCTACCAGTCTACCATATTCCATGACCACCGTCCACCAGACCCATAGTGACAGTGTGACAGCACTTTAAAGAACATGCTCTAGTGGCCACTATTGTGCTGTAGGAAAACCTGTAATCCAAAAGTCCCTACCTGACTTCTACTTATGGGATACACGAAAGATAAAGTGAATGAGAATGACCTCAGGACAAGTCCAGACCTCAAAGTGAGATCATCCGTGTCATTCAGGCTATACCTGCTGAGGAATGCATATGGGTCATTGACAACTGTGCATGTTTGTCAACATTGGGATGGCCACACTTGCATGTTGAGCATGTTGTTCAATGTGCTGTAATATTGTGAATATCAGTCTGATGGTCATGAAATATGATAGGCTTGTAGGAAATCGAATCATTTCTTAAAATGACAAAGATATTAGGAAAATGTAGGATTTCCTTTTTTACCACCCTGTAGAACGTGTTAGAAAATTTTTGTATTTTCAATAAATCAATATATTAAGAGGAACTAGACAACAGCAAAGCCAAAGCGTAGCAAATCCCATCGAACGGCAATGGATGGCTTTTTTACAAACGAAATATATTGTGGGAAATTTAGGAATTCCCCACTTTATGTTATTTTAATAAAATTGTAATAATCTTTAATAAATTTAGAAGTTAATTGTTACATCTCATATACAATATAAGAGGGACTCTCCCGGGAGTTATTAATTACACTGGACCGAAAGGTAAAGGGTATTTCCCCTAAAATTGGTCACGTGGGATCCCTGATTTACAATAGTTGAACCTGGGGCTTGAGGAAGAAGAAGCGTAAGGAAGATGGCGGCCATTTAGCTTTGGATTGATGCTGAAACTTGTGGAGATATCGTAGGAGATAAGTGTAATCTGTCATTAAGGATAATGACATTTATTCGAGAAGTATTTTGTGCTGTTGTTGAGGCAGTTTAATCTACACGGAAGTAGGTTTATTGGACGTTTTGGAGAGGGAAAAGCGGGAGAGAATTAGGGCCATGTGTGGTGTGACTACCTGTTGATGACCCGAAGTTTGGAGTAAGGTATCTAGAAGCAGGAAGACGCATGTGGTAAGGTAACCTTTTTCTATGGTTCGTATTCCATAGCTTCAAATGATGTTGAGGATGATGATGTGCTGATCATCTATTATTTTTGAGAAGCAGTGAATTATTTATAAGACTTTATTAAAGGTGCATTTATGTGCGTTTAACTTTGTATTTCCAAGCTAAATATTTCCATCTGGCTGCCAGTGTTGTCTTCCAAGTGTTTGATATCTAAGCCTGTGAACTTGATTCTCAGTTGCGGCATCTAAAAGTGAGCTGGAGGTAATTGGTACTTCCCGCGGAACTACCAGAGAGTGACTGGGAATCAGTGTTGTTTATTGTTTATCAGAACCTGATTTATACAGTATTTTTATGCTTACATCAGTTTGAGATCGAGAATAACCTTTTCATAATTGTGCTTTTGGTATTTTCCTACTTTTGCTAATACAAGGGGAATCCATATCTCTGTAACAAATTAATTCATTATCATTTAGCTTGTCTGAACAAATACTCCTTACTTTACTTTCCTAACGTTTCTTTAGTTAACTTTGCATAGTTTTGCTAGCTGTGGAGTAAATTGATCTTTTGCCTTTGCTCCTCATGTGGATTATCAGGGAGTAATATAGATTGTTCATTTCTCATTAGAATTACTCATCTCCAGCATTGTTTCACTCTTATTGTAAGAGCTAATTTATTCAGGTTTACTCATTGGCCCTACAGAATCTACCAGTGAGCCGAGAGTAATTATTATTCTCCGCGGAACTAACAGAGAGTAGGCTAGGAGTAATCTGAGAGTGGAAAGAGTAAGTTGAAGAGCAATTTGGAGTAATTAAGGAGTTGTCTGAAATTAGGAGTAATCTTGTGAGTAATCAAGGAGTAATTCAAGAGCAGGGGGAGCAAATTGAGAGCGATCGTATTAGCAGAGGAGGAGTAACTTGAGTAAACCAAGAGTATATTTGGAGTTACCTGTAGAATAACCAGGAGTATTGTGAATTTTGCTGTGAGGAGTAACCCAGAATATTAACCTTGTTCCTGAGAAGTAACCAGAGAGTAAATGAGACGATCACATAGGATCTTAGAAGAGACTGAGTAGCCAAGTGAATATAATTTTCAGGACATTGAGAGTAGTATTTCTTTATGAACAATTCAGTGATGATAGACATTTGAGTTTTATTTTATCAGAGCATTTGAGTAATAATAAGGACTTTGAGATTACTCTTTGAGTATAGAAGGATAAATAAAGACAGTAGAAGTACATTATTTGAGTAAACTGATATTTTATTGTAACGTTTTATTGTACAAATATATGTGTTTTTGTTGCCATTAATTCTTGTCATGTACGTTTTCTTAAGCCGCAGTACCACCAAACCAGGTCTGCGCCCACGTAGATAATCTGTGAGAATCCCATAATAAAATATTTGTCAGTGACTTGACCTCTCCACACTACCACATTTTGGCCAGGTCCGACATTGGTGGCAGCGTCGGGATTTGCTTAGGGAGGACGTCCAAAAGAGAATATGGCAACTAAACCAGAGGAAGGGATGGAATACATGGAATCCCAGACGGAAGGGAGAAGACAGGAGGAGGAGTCTGCTGATAATACTGTCTTCTTCCAAGGAGATAATGCTCAAATGGATATTGGGCTTGATGATACAGTGCCAGTCAGAAGAGACACGTTTAGTGGAACCGAATCTGCAAGACAAGCAGAGGAAAATCCAGCAGGAGCGAGGTCAAAGACTGGATACACAGTACAGGGAGAAGGTTATGGGATGACACCAGCAAGAGGTTACCCTTTAACATCCACTGTACTAGAAGGAAAATCTCCAGGAGTAATTATGCCAATGGGACAGGAGCTACAGAGTCAGCAAGTCCAGATGTCTGTGTTAGACAGTCAACTGAAGGCGCTGGACCAGCAAAACAGAACTATGTATGAGGATCTGAGGAGGGAAGTATACTCAGGTCAGGAAAATCTTCGAAGGGAAGTAAATGCAGGTCAGAGAGAGATCCAGACAGAGATAGAAAGACTGAGTGCAAGCCACCTGGAAGCCCAACAAGAAGCTAAAGGAGCGCTACAAGACGTTAAGGGCTTTCTGTCTATTCTAGTGCAGCGTCTTCCTGCTACTAAGGATGACAGTTGTTTCACTTCTGATGAGTCAGGGAGTAAACAAAAGCAGAGTTATGGGAGTACAATGGCTGCAAATCAAGAGCTAGATCAGAAGAGTAGACTAGACTCTCAACATACTCCAACCAGAGTAAATACTCAGCCGCAAGGAGATGTATGCTCTGGCATACATATGAAAAGGCCATCACTTCAGAGACAAGATCAGTATGTTGGTGAGGAATTAGCATCACATCTTGGCAAAGGATGGTCACGGGAAGCTAAGATGGGGGGTGATAGTTGGCCATTATCCCAAGAATATGGAAGGAGTTACTCTGAGCAATTGAGAGAGCAGGGAAGGTCTGCTCCATTGCTCAGAGAGGAGACGTATCAGATGCCTACCCAATACTCCCGAGAGCAGTTGGCCCAGGAGGGGGTTGGAGAAATCTGTGGCGGAGGAGAACTCGACAGGAGTGAGATAAGGAGAAGTAGGAGACATTCCCTACACTCTCCGATGGAGTACCCTCCTGATCATCAGGATGGGAGGCAACCAGAGGAACTCATTGCTAATGTTCCAAATCCAGACCTAAGTAGAGGTACCCAGCAGAGAGTATCAACGGAAGCATTAGCTCCAGAGGTGAAAGAGGAGAAAGCAGCAGAGTCAGTGATTGTTACCAAGGTTCTGGACATGTGTACTAAGTTAATTGAGTCCAACAAAGGTCCACGGGTGCGAATAAAGCCAACACAAACCTTCGATGGTAGTACACCTTGGAAAGACTACAAGGCATATTTCTCTACATGTGTAGAGAACAACGGCTGGACTCCAGATGAGAAAAGGCAGTATTTGGCTACCAATCTTCGTGGAGACGCCCAACAATTGGTGCTAGAACTAGAAGAGGGCTATTCCTATGAGGACTTAATAGAGGCCCTGGAAAAGCGATTTGGACCTGGAGGGAAGGCTGACGTCTTCGAGGCTGAGTTGTGCAGTCGCACACGAAAGCCAAAGGAGTCCCTTCAGAGTTTGGGCCAGAATATCCGGCGTTTAGCTTCGTTAGCCTATCCTGAGATGAGCAGGATGGCTCAAGATAGGCTTGCCAGAAGGAGCTTTGAGCAAGCCATACCAGATGATGATTTGCGACAAGCCATTCACAGGAAGGATCCAGAAACACTTGATAAGGCCATTGAGGTAGCTCTCAAAGAGGAAAGCTACCAGGAATCGGAAAGAATCAGGAGAGGCCTAAAATCTAAGAGGGATCATAAAATCTTGCAAGTTGATGAGGAAGATGATATAAGTACTAAACTGCAGCAAATACTAAAACCAGTGGAGCAGTTACTCGAAAAGACACTGGGAAAGATGAGTAAGGATATAGCCGATATCGCTAACAGAGGACCTTCTAAACGTACATTCAGTTGTAAAAAGTGCGGAGAGGAGGGACATAGAGTAAGATGGTGTCCAACAATTACATGTTATAATTGTGACAAACCTGGGCATTTGTCATTTGACTGTCCATTACCTGAGAAGCCAAAAAGAGAGAAAGATCAGTCCAGGACAGTAACCACCAATTCTGTGACTCCTGTGAGGTTTATGGCAGATCGTTATGAGGAGATAACTACAGGGAATAGAGAGGAACTGGTGCGGAAGATAGTAGCAGATGTGGATATCTGTGGGACTAGGATGGAATTCCTTGTGGATTCAGGAGCTGTAAGCAGTATGCTAGGGTGGGGTTGCTATAATCGAATCTCAAAGAGGTGTCGTCCTTGTTTGAGGCCCTTAAGTCGTCTCTTTACTCAGGCAGATGGATCCCATTTAGCTGTGTATGGAATGATATCATGTGACATTGAACTAGATGGTAAAGTGATGCCGATGAATATAGTGGTAGCAGATATTGCCCAAGATGGTATCCTTGGATCAGAATACTTATCTGCAAGTGGGGCAATTATAGACTATGCTGATCTCAGAATTTACTTCAAGGACCAAAACCAAGAGGAGAGAAAACCTGATGTAGAGAAAATAATGCTGGATTCCTCCAACCAGTTGCAGAATAAACGAGAGAAAGATAGGGTCATTGAGAAAAGTTACTCAAGCAGGACCAAAAAGACAACATTCGACAGGAATGTAGACGCTGATGATACTGAGATAGGGGGAGAGTATCCAGAGACAATTGGGATCTACGTTTGTAGTCAGGAGCAAGAGACTGAGAATTTAGTTTCTTGTAGGAGCAGCGATGGAACTTCTAAGAGATCTGAAGAGATAACCAATAAAGACTGCACCATTCAGAGCACAGAGATTCATCCAAATAAAGGTACGAGGATAAGATGTGAGAAATCCTGGAGTAATGAATCCAAAGAGAAGATCAATGAGGAGTTTACTACTGGAAATGACTCTCCAAAGAGTAAGCAGAGACAGAGAAAGGGTTTGATGCAGAGGAAAAAGAAAGCGTTGTCCATTTCAAGTAACAAGGTTCAGGAGAGAAAATTACAAAGATGTACTTTGGGAAAAGCACTTCAAGTAAGCAAGGTGAAAAGTCTTACTAATGAGAAAATCCAAAGGGGAGATATGATAGTACAAATTCAAAGGAGGAGGATACCGAAGATTATAAGAAAAAATTTCCATCAGCGCCATAACTTAGAAGGAAATGAAAAGAGGAACCTTACTCTGGGTTGTAAATCGGTACAGAGTAGAGATGGAAACCCTACTTCTAGAGGCAGCTCGCCAAATAGTAGAGAGCGACCATTGGATCGGAGAGGAAGGCCTACTCAGAGTAACTCAGAGAATAAGGTAAGCAGTCGGAATATTAATGAAGTTCGAGTGAGTAAGGCAGTAGTACCAACCCCATACAACAGATGTCTGAGGGGAAAGATGGAGCATTTGGAAACAGGACCTCTTGGTGAAGAGAGTAAAACAAAGGAACTTTATCAGAGAAGGCCATTCACAAGGAATAGAGTCAAGGGAGGGACCAGAGAAGACAACTCGCAGAAGAGCAAAGCTACATGGACTAGGAAGTTGTCACCCACTGAAGAAGGAGAAATAATTTCTATTCTGAGATTCTGGATAAGGAAGAGTAGAGAGTCTGCCTTTTGCAGAGAGGTGCCAACGAGTAAAACAAAGATGCCAATACAGAGTAGGGAACAATGTGTAGAGATCGGACTTACTCAGAGGGATAAGATGTTAGAGTGTGATAGAGGAGCCTTTACTGAGGACAGAGCACAGGACTACAGAGAGAAAAATTCTTTTAAAAGACAGTGATTACATGTTGAGAAGTAGAGATTGAAATGGGTATACTTAGAGGCGTTAAGTGATATATTTGTGTATGAAGAGTTTTATATGGAGTAGTTTTATACAGAACCTACTAGATAATTAGTGTTTGAATATGTGATAACTATAACACAGAGACATTTGAGAGTGTGAGTTCATGAGGAGTTTTGAAGCATCATAGACTATAAGATGTTAAATGTTATTTTTATAGTTGATTGAACTTTAGATTAAGATGGTCGTTTACTCATTACTCGAGCTAAGAGTAGCAATGCGAGGGCGCATTGATTTAAGATGGGGGGTGTGTGGGAAATTTAGGAATTCCCCACTTTATGTTATTTTAATTAAATTGTAATAATCTTTAATAAATTTAGAAGTTAATTGTTACATCTCATATACAATATAAGAGGGACTCTCCCGGGAGTTATTAATTACACTGGACCGAAAGGTAAAGGGTATTTCCCCTAAAATTGGTCACGTGGGATCCCTGATTTACAATAGTTGAACCTGGGGCTTGAGGAAGAAGAAGCGTAAGGAAGATGGCGGCCATTTAGCTTTGGATTGATGCTGAAACTTGTGGAGATATCGTAGGAGATAAGTGTAATCTGTCATTAAGGATAATGACATTTATTCGAGAAGTATTTTGTGCTGTTGTTGAGGCAGTTTAATCTACACGGAAGTAGGTTTATTGGACGTTTTGGAGAGGGAAAAGCGGGAGAGAATTAGGGCCATGTGTGGTGTGACTACCTGTTGATGACCCGAAGTTTGGAGTAAGGTATCTAGAAGCAGGAAGACGCATGTGGTAAGGTAACCTTTTTCTATGGTTCGTATTCCATAGCTTCAAATGATGTTGAGGATGATGATGTGCTGATCATCTATTATTTTTGAGAAGCAGTGAATTATTTATAAGACTTTATTAAAGGTGCATTTATGTGCGTTTAACTTTGTATTTCCAAGCTAAATATTTCCATCTGGCTGCCAGTGTTGTCTTCCAAGTGTTTGATATCTAAGCCTGTGAACTTGATTCTCAGTTGCGGCATCTAAAAGTGAGCTGGAGGTAATTGGTACTTCCCGCGGAACTACCAGAGAGTGACTGGGAATCAGTGTTGTTTATTGTTTATCAGAACCTGATTTATACAGTATTTTTATGCTTACATCAGTTTGAGATCGAGAATAACCTTTTCATAATTGTGCTTTTGGTATTTTCCTACTTTTGCTAATACAAGGGGAATCCATATCTCTGTAACAAATTAATTCATTATCATTTAGCTTGTCTGAACAAATACTCCTTACTTTACTTTCCTAACGTTTCTTTAGTTAACTTTGCATAGTTTTGCTAGCTGTGGAGTAAATTGATCTTTTGCCTTTGCTCCTCATGTGGATTATCAGGGAGTAATATAGATTGTTCATTTCTCATTAGAATTACTCATCTCCAGCATTGTTTCACTCTTATTGTAAGAGCTAATTTATTCAGGTTTACTCATTGGCCCTACAGAATCTACCAGTGAGCCGAGAGTAATTATTATTCTCCGCGGAACTAACAGAGAGTAGGCTAGGAGTAATCTGAGAGTGGAAAGAGTAAGTTGAAGAGCAATTTGGAGTAATTAAGGAGTTGTCTGAAATTAGGAGTAATCTTGTGAGTAATCAAGGAGTAATTCAAGAGCAGGGGGAGCAAATTGAGAGCGATCGTATTAGCAGAGGAGGAGTAACTTGAGTAAACCAAGAGTATATTTGGAGTTACCTGTAGAATAACCAGGAGTATTGTGAATTTTGCTGTGAGGAGTAACCCAGAATATTAACCTTGTTCCTGAGAAGTAACCAGAGAGTAAATGAGACGATCACATAGGATCTTAGAAGAGACTGAGTAGCCAAGTGAATATAATTTTCAGGACATTGAGAGTAGTATTTCTTTATGAACAATTCAGTGATGATAGACATTTGAGTTTTATTTTATCAGAGCATTTGAGTAATAATAAGGACTTTGAGATTACTCTTTGAGTATAGAAGGATAAATAAAGACAGTAGAAGTACATTATTTGAGTAAACTGATATTTTATTGTAACGTTTTATTGTACAAATATATGTGTTTTTGTTGCCATTAATTCTTGTCATGTACGTTTTCTTAAGCCGCAGTACCACCAAACCAGGTCTGCGCCCACGTAGATAATCTGTGAGAATCCCATAATAAAATATTTGTCAGTGACTTGACCTCTCCACACTACCACATTTTGGCCAGGTCCGACAATATAGCAAATATTGTAAAATAACACACATAAGAAAGGCCACCATTTTCAAAATCGTTGCTCACTAGCCAAGTTTTCATCAGAAAAAGTAATATGCTTTTAAGTAGGGACATATAAAAATCTTTAAAAATCACACACACGTACATGTAAATGGTGGTCATTTTTTAAAACTAATACACAAAATGTCAATGGGGCTTTTAACATTCAGGGATCAGATGGAATTTATCGCCATTCCTTATTGTGGTGGTGATTACCGCCATTTTAGAAATGAAAGGAGGGGAACTTTTTGTAAGTTTCTTTTGGTTTTAGTATAAAAATACATGAAAAGATGTCAGGACAATCCATTAGCGATGCCTTGTTTGCTCTGTCATCCCTCATTTCGAATTTGCTTTTACTTTTGTGTCAAGAAAGAGAGACAAGAACACAAAGGTGCACAACATGTTCCCACCAATGGGTGATCCTATATTAAGCTCATTCCAGATATAAGCATACATTTGAGTCGCCAGCTATAATCTCATTATAGTCCAGAAATAAAACTCATTTGTTATTTTAGAAGTTGGGGTTGGAGTCTACCTTTACCACACTATTCAGTAATATGTATTTACACATATTTTTCAAGACCCAAATATAGCTGAACTAGTCTCTAAGCTAGAGACTTGAGTAATCTTTGTATTATGTTGGGTCCCATTTGGAGTGGGGTTTTCAGATAAATTTCTCTTGTTGGTATAATACTGTAACCTACCATTTTTTGAAGCGGCCACATATGAATCAAAGGCTTGTTGGCTATTGCTGCAATCACATACTGCCCACCAAGTAGTGCAAGGGACCTAGGGGCACTAGAACCACCTTTAAATGTCGCAATAGTTGTACCTGAATATGGATCCCAAATACACGTGTTCCATAGCTGTCCTGTAGACTCACTTGTTATAAGTATCTGGAGTATAACAGATTCATATTAATACAAGTGATGTTACAATAGTGATGGCTCGGTTAGATTCAGTTACCTGTATTTTACAAACGGGGGTCTTTTACAGGTGGGAGTCTTGTACAGGGTGGCCAGAAAGAAATGTTATCTCCTTGAATAATATTTTACTCCAGTTTTTAGGCACCACTAATTAAGAAATATAGAACGAAGAGCAGAGCCAGGGCATTGATCTCGAATATGCCCCAGGTGAAACTAGACTATATCCTCTAGTCTGAAATTTTTTTGAAATTTGGAATGAAAATATTCAGACTATAGCCCACATATAGTGGATGAGCTCGGACCACTTTTTTACTCACACTATTGCATTTTTATAATTATGTTAATTATTTGTAGTTTATCATTTGCCATTGATTTTGAAAATAATAGGGTCTATTAAAAATGTAAAATAGTTCCCCTTTTCATCATATGTGGTCAATTTTCATACAACTTATAAAATATGTATTCATGAATGTTCCCCAAACATTATTTTGTCAAAATATTTCAAAATTATTGAAATATGAGAAGAAATCAACGCGGAAGGAATTCTGAGTAAAAGTTGTGTTGATAATAGTTTACCGCACGTGTTGTTTATTAGTTAATATGCGCAATTCAACCAATGAAATTGTCTAAATTTTACAATCACGCGACCTGAGCATGGGACTAGAACCAATCACGTCAGTTGTTTATTACGAAGTTACCATGCTTACGGTGAGATACCTGCCCGTCGCAGTGATATATCACTGCACGGGAGTTCGCCTCTTCGAATAATCGCCATTAATGCCCTCCTTGCTACTTTTATGAGGGGGTAATACGATAAGCATCCATAATTTATGTTATATATCTCCAATCAAATTTATATTTCTAGGGAGTGTGTATCTATATATAACAAGTTCCCATGACAAGTTTGATCATGCTTGGTCAAGTGGTTGCCATGGCAACACAACTTAAGTGCGAAAAATTGTTAATATTTCAAATTAAACCACCAGTACTTTAAAAAGTAAACGACTGCTAATCTCTTTGGATTGCACCAATCAGCATGAAGTTGACTTTAAAAACATATTTAAGGAGTTTTCAATGAAATAACATGATTAAAATGATTAATTGAATGATATCTATGACTCTAGTCCATTACTCTATTTGGTCACTATCATTCACATTGCTCAAAAGTGGGCGTGGCACTTTTAAGTAACTATCTTGAGTAATTCATGTTATGTACCACGTAGGGGCCGAAATTTTAAATGTTTGGAACTACTTTGAATCTAAAAATAAGCAATTGGAGAACCATATTGAAACAGAATATGTAAAAATAGAAACATTTATATATCTGCTTCATATGGGGTTATTAGCCTTTTGCAGATTGTCGACATAGACATTTAGACTCTATACTTGTCCTAACTTTTGTATATTTTAGAGTCTAGTTTGTTTTGTATTTTAGCTATCATATCTGCACATTACACATAACTATCTGAAATATACAAAAAATAGGACTTGTGCATACTGCATATGCTTCCATTTTTTCATATACTCACTGTTGCAATATATACAGTCATTTGATTGCTTATTTTTTTTAAGTCCAAACATGCACTCTAAAATTTCTTGAAAATTATAGTCTACGGTACGCCCATAGGCCAAGGGTAAAGTAATAGTAAGCCATATATAGAAGAGACAGGTGAACAACTCTGACTTAGACCACTTGTTAAGATGGAGATTTCAACATTATTTAGTGTATTATTTTCAAAAACACCCCGGGTGATCAATATCCTGTGTTCCGAATTTCGTTCCAGCAAGTCAGTGAGTTGTGTTTTACTGAATCCCGACAAATATGGCGGCTAATTTGACAACAGACGATGTTGATGTCGACAATTATTCAAAACTTTCTGACAGCATAAGGTAAGACTGAATATAGAGTGGCGCATTCGGTGCCTAAATATGTTTGCAACATTTTCTTAGTTGTTTATCCATATGCGTTGGGCATTACTGCTAATCGAAGCATAAGTAAACGTGACCTCATTTTCAACGCTCGCTGGAAAGTATGTCACCGAGCAGTTTTTGACCTTCTGTTAGTTAATGAGATAAACTGTTATCATGGTATAATTGCTGGGTAAACGTTCAAAGTATGTACCAACTCGTGCTTCCAGTGAATATAAACCATTTCTTTGCATAAGCGTCCTAGAAGGCATAATAAGATATATTCCATAGTACCGAATAGGAATCGCCAGTGTTCCGACGCACTTCATGGATAAATGCTCATAGACTATTGAATCATAATGAACAGAAGCAATGTATACTCACGTGTGATATCTTAATTTATCAAAAATAAGAATTGAATGCATTTGATAATATTGATACTTTGCCAACTTGACTGATTTTTTTCTAGTCTGAGTAATTAATAAATGAGTAGTGGATTTGATTAATTGAGGATTTCCCATGTTAAAATATGTGAAAATTGTCAAGAGGCCACACACATCAGAGGATGAGAGTACAATACAACGATGTGTAAATTATGAGACTATGTTGCAACACCTTCAAAGAATGGTCATTTCACAATCCACATTGCACATACTGTAGCAGGCATTTTTATGATATATTTTAACATTGTCACAAAAACCAGGGATTGACAAAAAATATAGCATATCATATAGCAGGTATATGCCAGGTATTGTAATATATTTCAACGTTGTCACTGTTAGAGTAGGCATTACAATTTACCCATAAAAATATAATAATATTGACAACAGGCTAAAAAGTCTTCACTTAGTAAGCCATAAATGTCACATAAAGGCGACGGTCACACCAGGCTTTCACGATAGCATTGCTAAGGTAATAGTCCCTGGTATGACTTCCGAATATGAAGGATCCGTAGCACACTATAGCGCAGCAACATTTGAAGCAATATTTATGAAGGTGTATATGTCTTGATTCTTTTAAAATACCATTTGCCGAAAAAACTTCCGGCTTTCGGGTCGAAAAATGTATTTCATCACAAGGGGTCAAAAAACGTAAATATTTTGATTCGAACTTTTATAAATTTTATAAGACACAGACCGTTATTCTAAGCATACGAACAAAAAAATTGATTATCATAATGTCAAAATTACTATGATTTTACTGTAGATGTCGGTGTTTAATTAGTGTAATTACACAAGTGTGTTTTTCAGATTTTGTTTGATTTTTCAAATATGAGCTAAGCCGATTCAACAAAATTGTATGGAATATTTAGGTAATTTTTTTTGATTGGGAACGTATTAGTTTTCCGGGTAGTTTTCTTACCAGTTAAAACATTTTATTACCAGAATTTTTCCATATAATCGTAAAGGGTCTAACAACAAATTATTGTTGATGTTTTATAAAACATAATACAATAACAAATAGGTAAGATTCATATCTAATTCGATGTTACAGAGGTATTTGCATGTTCATATATTCCAAGGGCATGTCTAATAATCAATTAGAGTCATATGCAGTCGAACGCCTTACAATTCTTCCTCGACGTTAGTTGTGGCTATCATCAAGTTTTCTGATAGTTGTTTCTTCTTTGACCTTACCGAAGGATGCAATCAAATTTTAGGAAGATAATGATAACGATTTTTCTCAATTATTCATGAATTCGACCAAGTCTTGATGGTTGTTTCATAAGTAACTGAGCTATATCTAACTACGAGAAATGGAATTTTAGCTGTAGTCGCAATTAGTCAAGGGAGAGCAATAGGCCCACCTTTATTGATAATGTTCACCGCTGAATAAAAGTTCATATCTTAAAACGTATTGAGACCCATTTTGCGAAAAACTAGCATAATTTAAGCATTTGTCATTCTAATAGAAAAGTGATTCATTTGTAGCATTTATCTTATTAATACCCGAGAAACAATACAAAATGTCGATTCACTGATGACATAATCTTTTGGTATTGAATAGAAAAATAACCTCAAACTTTTAGCTTAGAAACCTAAATCATATACTTAAAATCATATTTTATTATTTGCTATTGCATTGTGTACTCCAAATTGTAAAAGTTTGGAAGTTTATTTTTTGGAAATTTTTTGACCTCTGTTAATGGCAGGCATAATTTAGCCTTAAAGCCGGAAGTATATTAAACGGTTATAATAAAAATTATTAGGGGACATATGTAGGTATGCTTATGTTAGGTCAAATATCGCTGCGCTATAGTGTGCTACCAGCTCCTTTATTAGACGTCCTAGAGATTTCATACCATGGACTATAATGGCAGGATCCATGCATAATTTATTAAATCAGGCCCGCAGATAGGAGGGGGGGGGGCCCTGGTCAGAAATTCTCTCAAAAACTTGCAGTTTTTCACCATTCTGAGCACTTTCACATGATTTGCCAAAACAACAGATGCCAGCCAGATCATACTTATAGTAGAAGGCTAGGCTCAAATAAACCTCAAGTTGAGGTATTATCATTGAGATACTGATACTATACATACGATCGTGCTATCAAAACTGTCAAAAAGCCCCCCCCCCTTGGCAAAAACTCCACCCTTGGTAAAACCGCTCACCAATGGTGAATCCTGGATACGGGCCTGTAAATGGTCATCGTGGTTGTACCAGACAGCAATGCAATGTTTTGATTTGCACACATTTTTATTTTTAAAAATCTAATTGAGAGCATCCTAATCATGTGAAAAGTTCAATTTTTTTTAATAGTTATATTCCTTCTATAAAGTGGGTACACTTTTTGGGACACCCTGTATTTGCAGTTCAATGCCAATGTGGAAATCAATATACAGGGAAATTCGATCTTGAATTTGTAAAATAATAACAAGAAAGGTAGCACCAAATTAGCTTGATGTATTCATGAATGGATTCTCAAAAGTATACAAAATATATATAATCTTATTCTGTAGCTTCGGGACAATGGCGATTCCTATTCGGTAGAATGGAATATATCTTTCAACGACTTCTATGACGCTTATGAAAGGAAATAGCTTGGATTCAAACATAGCACAA